TCCCCAGTGGGGATGAATAGCATTACTCTATTTGCAAAGTGTAAGTAAATTCTTGATAACTTGGACGGTTGAGATCTAAAATTTGTAAAATGACGTGTTGGGTTTAGTTGTATACTCGACTCACAATTTTGTGCACTTGTTCGCTTTGATCGACCATGTAGAAAAGTGCAAGCGACCGCTCCAAAAGTAACTCAAGCCAACTCGCTTTAAACTTCTACCCCCCACTCCCCAACCAACCTTTTCTAGTTTGTTAGCATTAACTTGTTGGGGCTATATATATAAATATTCTTGTTTTACCTTCTTACTCAACTCTCCAAACTTCCACCTCCCAATATAAATCTTTTTCTTCCTTCTCTTCTACCTATTCCTCTCTTACTTTGCTTGCTTCTTTAGTTTCCTCCACTTTATAAGGTAATATCAGATTTCCTGTCCAATTTTATTTCACTGGGTGATTAGATGGCAGATTACAACAGAAGTGAAGGGTATAGTGCATCCTCCTCAGACAACAAGGTATTCCTTAAACTGAATCATGGTTGATTAGGTAACATAGACGATACAGTATTTAGTCTTGTTCATTACGAGCTTTTAACTTTCAGATTTTTTTTCCTTCATATCACTTATAATTTAGAAAATATAAGCCATTAATTGATGTCCATAGAAACTAATATTAGAATTGTACAAATTCTTGCATAAATTCCAAGGTTTTGATCACTTGAGTCTCATCATTTAAAATTTAGATTAGTCTATCCATTCCAAAACTATTTCTAGATATTAAATTTAGTTTTCATAAAATGTTTGATTTTAACTAGAGAGCAATCACTAACACATATACAAGTTAATAATTAAGTAAACAAATCGATGACTGTGTGAACGTATGAGCATACGTGTTTCAGTATCGATCTTCGTGATATTCTTACGTGTCTTGAGATTATTTATAATTTTATTTTCTGTACAAGATTGCGTTTTATTTACTCTAGAACTAATAAGATTCTTCTAGAACTAATGCGATAAATGTTGCATTAATTTTATGATTTCAATCTATCTTTTTCTGTCTTTCATGACGATTGCCATCAATNACTTCAAGAGTAATGTTATTCATCTCCAGAAGGGTTACAAATACAGTCTAGGTGGCTCTAAATGATAGGTTAAATGAAATGTGAAATTAAATGACTTATTTAATTTCACCTATCATTTAATGCCACATTAACGCCACCTAAACTGTGTTTTAATCCCCAGTGGGGATGAATAGCATTACTCTATTTGCAAAGTGTAAGTAAATTCTTGATAACTTGGACGGTTGAGATCTAAAATTTGTAAAATGACGTGTTGGGTTTAGTTGTATACTCGACTCACAATTTTGTGCACGTGTTCGCTTGGATCGACCATGTAGAAAAGTGCAAGCGACCGCTCCAAAAGTAACTCAAGCCAACTCGCTTTAAACTTCTACCCCCCACTCCCCAACCAACCTTTTCTAGTTTGTTAGCATTAACTTGTTGGGGCTATATATATAAATATTCTTGTTTTACCTTCTTACTCAACTCTCCAAACTTCCACCTCCCAATATAAATCTTTTTCTTCCTTCTCTTCTACCTATTCCTCTCTTACTTTGCTTGCTTCTTTAGTTTCCTCCACTTTATAAGGTAATATCAGATTTCCTGTCCAATTTTATTTCACTGGGTGATTAGATGGCAGATTACAACAGAAGTGAAGGGTATAGTGCATCCTCCTCAGACAACAAGGTATTCCTTAAACTGAATCATGGTTGATTAGGTAACATAGACGATACAGTATTTAGTCTTGTTCATTACGAGCTTTTAACTTTCAGATTTTTTTTCCTTCATATCACTTATAATTTAGAAAATATAAGCCATTAATTGATGTCCATAGAAACTAATATTAGAATTGTACAAATTCTTGCATAAATTCCAAGGGTTTGATCACTTGAGTCTCATCATTTAAAATTTAGATTAGTCTATCCATTCCAAAACTATTTCTAGATATTAAATTTAGTTTTCATAAAATGTTTGATTTTAACTAGAGAGCAATCACTAACACATATACAAGTTAATAATTAAGTAAACAAATCGATGACTGTGTGAACGTATGAGCATACGTGTTTCAGTATCGATCTTCGTGATATTCTTACGTGTCTTGAGATTATTTATAATTTTATTTTCTGTACAAGATTGCGTTTTATTTACTCTAGAACTAATAAGATTCTTCTAGAACTAATGCGATAAATGTTGCATTGATTTTATGATTTCAATCTATCTCTTTCTGTCTTTCATGACGATTGCCATCAATCAATGAGGTTGAATCAGATCGGTCGTAGAACTGTAAAATTATGTAACTTATTTTTGAAAATAAGTATCTTGGTGGAAATGCATTTAACTCATTAGAATTAAAGTAGTCAATTACAACTTGATTTGTTAGGTTACTTACTTTGGGAGAGAATTAAGGTTTTTAAACACACTTTTTTCTCAAAATTACTATTTAATTTAACCACTTGAATATCTTGTTTGAATTTTCTATGACAGGTTGCTTCAATTGATAAGAAATATGCAGGCATAATGCCAAAAAAGAAACCTCTAATCTCAAAGGCAAGTAAATTTTTTTTTTTAATTGTTATAATTAATTATATTGATCAAAGCTTGTATACGCATACACCGGGCATTCCCGGGCGAGAAATCAAACATCGATGGATGAAAGTACCAAATACATCAAATACCAGGCATACCCAGATAAACAAAAGAGATACATAACACAATTACATAGTCAAATACATCAAATTTTCTTATTTTTTGTTGGATGATATAGTGGTGTCAAAACAAGCATGTTAGTCCAATCCTGACTTACTCACGCCTAGTTTAACTTTGTTTACGTGGTCTATTTTTCAATTTTTTTTTTTAAATTAATTTTAAATATAAGTCAGACTAGTCCAAAAATTGTTAAGTTGACGTGACCCCTCTATACACGTGATTGATTGTTCTCGATTTAAATCAAATAGCTAATGAAATTGGAACATATAAAAAGGAAGTCAAAGTTAAAATCTTATATATTTTACCATCTATAATGCATGTATGCAGGATCATGAACGTGCCTTCTTCGACTCGGCAGATTGGGCTCTATGCAAGGTATTTTAGCATTTTATTGTTAAATAATTAATAAAATTACATATATACTCAATAGAAATAGGTATTTCATAAATATTAGCGAATACACATTTTGCCAACCCTCAATGCAGACTTTTATAATCTCTCACTAATTACAATTTGAATATTGAAATAGACTCAAACTCTATAAATATTAAATACACCCATTTAAGTATAACACTTGGTTTAAATTATCAGCAAGGGGCAGGAGTTGACCAACAATCAATGGTGGCTATAGAGACATTACAACCAAAATTAGAGGTAATATAATTTTATTTCTTTGGTTAAGCTAATAATTAAATATCTAAAATTACGTACTATTAGTTAAGACTCTTAAAAGCAAGCTTTTTCCCGACTTTTGGACATAACGTACTGTCGAAATAAGCATTTAAAGGTATTTTATTTGCTATTAATTGAACGATAAAAATTAACGAACTCGAATATAAATCGTTGTGCAGAGAACACCGCACCAACAACTACCACCTCGGAAGCCTGCTTGTACATCTGGAAGGAACAACTATGGCAGATCCTAAGTGTACTAGTTTGTTTATTTAAGATAACAATATGATTTGTAATTAATCAAAACTATTAAGAATGGTATACATGTCTATCACAAGACGAGTGTTTCTTCTTGTCATCTCTAGTTTGCATCGAAAATTATGTGTAGTTGGGTTGAATGTGAATAAGATAGAAGAACAACAACACTTTTTCGGACCCTATAATGTGATATGTATGTATGTGTGCGTGACACCGTTCATCCAACTTAATTTGGACGAGTTTAACACTTTTATTGACAAATAGGATTTCAATCGCCATGTAGATCTTTTTGTCCACATGGATGGATGGATGAATTTTAATGGATTAATCTACTTGTACATATGTTTGTACATAATGTGAGTGTGGTGGAGTCCACGACACTGTAACGTAGACCTCACCTGCACTCACATTATGTACACGTCTATGTACCAGTAGCATTGCTCAATTTTAATTGAGTAATGAATGAGTAACTTTGCAATCAATAACTTTTTATTCTTGGGTGAGTGATAATAATCATTTTAAATGTTGATGATTGATGGTTTAAATAACTCAAAACCCCACCTTTGTATCAAAGACAGACTGAGAAAGTTTTCATCTTTGGCATCTAGGGTGTCACCTGCAATTCTAAACCTTCAAATTCACAAACAGAAACAATCTCAAAATTCGAAACCCTCAAATTTCAGCTCTTCGATCAATCTTGGTAAAAAAAACCCAGTAATATATACACATTTGATACAGTTAAACCTCAATTCAAAGACTCAAACTTTAAATCAATTTCAGTTTCACGAACTCACATTTCTAGTAATAAGCACAAATTTGATGGAATATCCTTTGATCATCAATACTTTGCTGAAGTTCTATCAAGAAAATATTTATTTTTGCTGCTAATCCATGAATTTAAGGACAAAGGGACCGATTTGAATTCTCGGATCATACTTAGTATTTTGCAAAATCAAGAAAACCATTACACCTTTTGAGATTTTATATTTGGGATTCGAATACCTGCCCCCAATTCGTGAATAATCATCTGATTCATGGTGCCTTAGGCAATTCCCTTTATAGGAAAGGCCCGGCTTTACTGTCTGCTGAATTGATAGAGGACATTAGGAACTCTGGGTGTAAAGTTATTTAGGATTTGCTCTGTGCTCTGCTTTGTAGTTGGGGGAGGTTGGGTTTGGCAAAGCATTGTATCGAGGTTTTTGTGCAGATTTCTTATCTGGGCCTTGCTCCTAGTACTAGATTGTATAATGCGTTGATTGATGCATTAGTGAAGTCCAATTCGCTCAACTTGCTTACCTTAAGTTTCAGCAAATGGAGGTGGATGTTTGTGTTCCCGATAGGTTTACATATAACATCATCATCCATGGAGTCTGTAAGATTGGTGTGGTAGATGAGGCTCTTTGCTTAGTGAAACAAATGGAGGGTTAAAATACTCACCCAATGTGTTTACTTATACTACCTTAATAGATTGGTATTGCAATGCCAAAAGAGTAGACGAGGCATTTGGGCCTCTTGATAGAATGAAGAAAAGGAATGTTAAACCGAATGATGCGACATATAGATTTCTTGTGAATGGGGAATTCCGTTCTGTGCCTGCTCACAAAGCACTTAAGTTGTTACCGAGATGGGTGGATATGGAGCCCGATTTGCCTAAAGTGGTTTATGATACTGTACTTTTTTGCCTTTGTAATAATTCTATGCCAAGAGATGCAGCTGTATTTTTGTAAAAGTCTGCAGAACAAGGTTATAATCCTGATAGTTCAATATTTAACATTGCAATTACCTATTTTATCAAGGGATTGGATCTTGATGAAACTTGTCAGATATTTGATTATTTTCTTAACCAAGGTATAAAGGTGGATTTCAATGCTAGTCTTGCGCTTGTTGAGGCTCTGTACAAGTCAGGAAGAGAAGGTGCGGGAAATAAATATTTAAGTCTGGTTCTCCAGGATGGACTTGTTGTAAATGTATGCTCATATAACGTGGTGATTGATTGTCTCTGCAAGGCCAAAATGATGGACGAAGCATCAGAAACTTTGACAAGGATGTGCCAAAGAGATATACTCCCCAAATCTTGTTACTTATAGTACCCTTTTTGTGGGGCATTGCAAGATTGGATATGTAGTCAAGACACAAGAATTGCTGCTGATGCTCATTTGACATGGGTTTAAACCTGATGGGAAATGCTACATGTCCAACACATGGATTACAACATTGGGTTACAACCTCTCACAAGGTGATTGATTGTCTCTGCAAGGCCAAAATGATGGACAAAGCATCAGAAACTTTCAGAAACTTTGACAAGGATGTGCCAAAGAGATATACTCCCTGAATCTTGTTACTTATAGTACCTTTATTGTGGGGCATTGCAAGATTGGATATGTAGTCAAGGCACAAGAATTGCTGCTGATGCTCATTTGACGTGGGTTTAAACCTGATGGGAAATGCTACATGTACAACACATGGATTACAAATTTGGGTTACAACCTCTCACAAGGAAGGTGGGCCCAACGATTAAAATAATAGTGGGCCCCACCTCCCTTGTGAGAGGTTGTAACCCAACATTGTACAAGGAGCATTATTCAAACCTGATATTTTCACTTTTAACTCAATAATAGATGGCCTTTGCCAAGTAAATCAGATTATCGATGGTTTTGATTGTTTCTCAGAAATGATAGAGTGGGGAGTCACTCCAAATGCTATTACATACAATGTTTTAATACGCTCACTGTGCATTGCTGGGGATGTTTCTAAAGCAATGAAACTATTGAAAAAGATGCAAGATGATGGAATACAACCCGATGTTTACTCCTTTAATGATCTAATTCAAAGTTTTTGTAGAATGAATAAAGTTGAGAAGGCGCAAAGGCTTCTTACAGTTACAAGCATGTTGTCACTGGATTTGCATCCTGATAATTTTATTTACATTGCTTTTATCAAAGATTTTTGCCGATCTGGAAGACATCATGAAGCTAAGGAATTGTTCCTCTCAAGGGAAGCGAATGGGTGCATCCCTGATGCTTATTTATTTAACTCATATGTTGATGCATTGATTAAGTCAGACAGAGTTAAAGAAGCCCAAAGTATATGGTTAAAATACAAAGATTAGGGAATAACATTAAAACCCATTCCTGTTTAGTGTTTAGGATTGTACTACTGTGGTGGATATTTACTGATCAGACAGGTTCACAAGTTTGGACTGCTATGTGAAACTATTGGCTTTGAATGCAAATACGGATACCAATTATATGGCTGCGATTTACGTCCTATGCTGTTGAAAATTGTAGGTTTGCAATTAGCAACTTGACAAGTAGTGGTCTGTCTTAAATTCTCGCTTGCAATTTCCTGTGTTAATTGGTGGTTACTTGTGTAAAGTTGTTGATGCAATACTCTAAGTTACCAGTATTGTAAGTTGTTCGTATATCATAGTTGACATTTGATGTTTCTTTACCTTTTAAAGTATTTATTCAAAACTTGTCAATTATTCCTAGATTTTCCCACTCTCGTTATGGACGATATGTTAGTTAAGGATATAGTGGAACTTAATGGTTTACTGAATTATCAACTTTGAGCATTATTTCACGGGGCTTTTCATGAATTCTTCATCAAACTAAAAGTACGTGATAATTATTTCTGATTCATATAATGATTAGTACTTTACAATGTTTTTTAGAATGATGAACTTGCAGTTATGCTGTTTTCAAGATGCTTATTAATCTCATATGCACAAAAATAAGTTTGCATATGTTCATATTATCATCCTCCATTGCTAAAAGGATTCTTATTTATGGGAAATACTGATGGATTTGTTTCATACAATTAGATCATGAATTGTACATTTATCTCAAAATTGCAGTGGTTTAATATATAATCCGAAGCAAGGAACTTATAATGTTTTTGTTTTATTTAAAATATATAATGTTCAAATACTAGTTTTACTGAGTTAAAAAAATTAACAGATCCTGGATTTGTGAGTCTAGTCAAAGACATTTTAAAGTAATTGGTTCTGTTTGACATTTATGCTGTATTTGACAGCTTTCTGAGTTGGACGAGAAGTTGTGAAGGAAAGCTCAGTCTCTGTACATGGTTGTTGAGGGCAGTCATTCTTATGGAGAGACACTTGAATTGGTGAAAAGGAGCCGTCGAGAATCCTACTCAAGAATGAGACTTGAGTCTAGCTTAGATGTCTTAATGCAAATAGTAGAGCGAACATTTGTTTGTTCAGATGCAATACTATCAGTCAGCATTCAGGAATTCAATCATGGAGGATGGGTGTGGATAATGGCTTAAGTTTTCAGTTGAGTCGATACAAAAATTTGTGTGTCATCTTTGGGGTTAGATTGTCCACTGTGACACAGAAGCTTTTATAATACGTAAATCATCTTCAGTTTACACAATATATTTGCTAAGTTTTTAAACTGACACCACTCTGGGGATGAATCGTGAAACGTTAGTTAATTGTTTCTTTAACCTTGATAAGATTTAGAAAATGAAATTAAGTGGATTGTTTCCGATGTGATTTACCTTGAATGTTTGTCTAGTTGTAGGTTGTGTAAACTATTTTTGGACAGGAAGAAAAATAAGTTCTTTTAAATTATTATATAACTTCGACTCCCTGGTATTGAATTATGGTAAAAAAATTCCTGAATATAAAAGTTATCAACGGCATCTGTTGCACAGACTGGAACGCAATTGGAAATAATTCGGTGCTAAAGTAAAAGCTTTCATCCACAAAGAAACATTTTTTTTCACTGTTTCTTTCTCGAATCTTAGTGTTGCACAGATCATGGTATTTACATATACGGGTTACTTTGTTTAGGGTTTGAATTGTGTCACGGGGTGTGAATCAAGGCCTACCTCACTGCAGGTTTAGTATGCAGTGTTGGACACAGCAGGGCTTGACTGTATAATCCAATACTGCACATTACAAACCAATACTCCTTAGAAAACATGCCAGTGGATACCAACAATGCTCGTTTTTTATTTAACACGTCACTGATTGTTGTCTCCAAGGAGTTGCTTGTTGATGAGAAATAAGGCTAGCTAAACATTACTTGTTCTGGAAGGTTTGTGAGAATAGGTTTGATTTCTAGCTCTCCATGCAAACGGTCTGCATAAGTTGGTGAGATTTGTCCAACTGTTCTTTCTTATATTCACCTCTATTTTTATCCAATTTTTACCATAATTTACCTATAGACTAAGTATAGTTGATTAGGACTATCTTCTTCTAGAAGATTGTTAATTACTTGAACAATATATCATTCTAATTTATTAGCTTTAGTTCTACTTTTGAGAATGTTGTTGATTCTAGAAAATTACTAGTCGTCTGTTAAAGGGACATCTGTATTTGTATAAATAGATGTATGTATGTGAGCAGCCTAAATCTGTCTCTTGTGTCTGTTTAATCTAATGAGCTTAATGGCATTCTCAGTAACCTCAAAGCATTGGTTTTTGGCTACAGTTTTGGTGTGCATCTTTGTTTTATTGTGGGAATCTGGTATGCATTCGACAACTGTTGGTGCACGTTCAATACAAACACTTTTTCAGTAGTGTCTACCACTATCTAATCGTCCTTACTAATATGCTATTGCTTGTTTTTTCTGGAAGAACTTTTTTATTCATTGGTGTTGATGCTTCTATTGCTACCTTTGACAGGGAACGCATATGAAGATCTGACGGGGAAAACATACGAAGATCATCCTCATTTAGGTGCTGCTGACGCAATTGCAAATGAATACGTGCCTGAAGCAGAAGATGAAGGAGAAGGAGAAAAGGAAGGAGGAGGAGGAGGAGGAGGAGGAGAAGGAGAAGGAGAAGGGGAAGGAGAAGGATATTTTCCTGAAGGCGGGACAATAAACACCAATCCGGCTAACATTGTCGACAAAGCCCTCGAATGTTTCCATGATAAATATGTAAGTAATAATTGCCTTCAACCTCACTCCCCCTTCCGAAGGACTTACGAGTTATGACCGGACCACTTGGGCAAGCCACAAACGAAAATTAGATATTGTTTTTGGTTACTTGTGATTTGCGTATTCTTATGGACTTTTAGAGATTTTTCTCTTATATTATGATTTTTATTACAATGATTTTGAGTTTTCTTACGAGGTCTTATTGTATAAAATTTGACTCTTCTAAATTTCTAACCAAATTCTCTGCATCTGTATAAACGAACGATGTCAAAATTCTCAGTATCTTGTGCAAATAAAAGTGCATGTGATGCCTATTTCCCAAGTTTTGTAAGTGAATCATCAAAAACTAAAGAATAACGCTATCTAGCACTAGTGGTGCTAGATCTATGTGGACACACTTGATAGGTTCAGTTACGTGAATCATGAAATGTTACATTTAAATGAATTTATCATTTAATGCTATGCAATTGCCATTTAGACTGATGTTTGACACCAGTAGTGTTGAATAGCATTTGTTTATGAGTTTCTTGTTTTCTTGTTCTCATACACGCTTCCCTGCATCGATCTCGTATAACTTATCCTCACAAACAGTTTGATAAGTCCATTTCATATCATCTTTCTCTTTGATCTAAACATATATGCAGATTTACAGTCACTGCGATGAAGCTTACAGATTAAGCCAAAGTGGAGAAATCAATGTTCCACCCGAATACACGGAGCATTATTGCAAAGGACCTTGCCTAACTGAGACGTACCACGTGCTAGACTGCATAGAGGGCATCGTGAAACACTATGTATTCTACAACAAGGCTACGCTAAGTGCAGTAAAGAAAACTATTAAAACAGGATGTAGCTATGGTCCTAAACGAGGTAATACTCTATACAACATTGCTTTTTTCTGTACATTATGGATTGTTGTAATAAGTTGTTTTCTTTTTTTTTGATCGGAAGTTGTAATAAGTTGTTTTCTTTAGGTGACTTCAATGTGGCTGAGCACCTTGAAGCTGAAGAAGATAGTGCGCATACAGCCTCTAAACCTGTCATATACGGACTTCTGCTGATGTTTATGGCGTGGCGCGCATTGTTTTAAACATGCTTTGGTTGTCGTCTATGAGATCAAATTATCATGTATTCTTTTTCGTACTTATGTTGCTATTACTTATAAGTAATTTATATATAAGTTCAAAATCTGGTTGTGCTTTTTATTTTTTGTTTTTCTGCTAATATGGTATTGGGGAAAAAAAACTGCAGTTAAAACCGTTCAACCGAAACTTAACCATCAATTTTCTTAGGTACACCGTACACCAACCTATTATATGTTATGGTCTTTGTGGAATATTTTGTTGTCTCAACCACTTGATTTTTCGCTGCCATTTTGTTTTTTTCTTGGAAATTAGGTCTTGTGTCCTTTACCTTTTTAGCGCTTTAAAGTTTGTACCACGTATTCATATATGATCGCTATGAATTTCTTATTTCCAAATATTTATCAAATAAAAGCTTAGAAATTTTATATATAAGTAAATAAGTAAGTTATAGAATAAATAGATGTTTGATTTATCGAAGTTGGAAATAAATTAGTTACTTTCTAAATATGTAACTTAAAATTAAAATTTAGATAAAAGTAGATTATTCAAATATATTAAAGGTAAAGAGTTACTCAAAAGTAACTTCGATTTTTAAGATTAGCCAAAAGTAGTCAATAAAATCATGACCAAAATATCAGTAACATCATACTTTTCATTGAGAAACAAGCAAATTATCTTGAAGATATTCTCACAATAAAGCAGGTTTTAGCATATTATGTTAAGCAAATATGAGAAAAGAGTGCCCAAAAAACTTTCAAAATCCTCTATTATTGAAATCTACTGCTTATGATACAAAAATACTATTTCAGGAAACACATCTAAAAGAAGCTAAAAAACAGTATTGGGAGAATAGTCCAAAATAATTAATGACTCGTTTGGTGGTCCACAAAACTAAACGGTATAATAAATAGGACTTTTAGCTTCTTTTTCTTCCTTAATACTGTAGAGTGCTATATAATCCACCAACCAAACAAACCATAAGAACTTCCACAAGAAAAGATAGAGGTAAGTTGCAACGGTGAAGTAAAATTTTGCTGATAGCCCTTACAATATCAAAATGTCATCAACCAATTCATCTAATAATGAAGTAAGAATCCGATCCTCGATCAAAATTCCTAGTTCAAATGCTTCGATATCAAAGTCGAGCCATCTTTTTTGTTTACCACTCATGTCCTCATCAACAAGTTCATCTACCATAGAATCTTTCATGCAACTCCAACTCGAAATTTCATTATACACTTCTTCAGCTAACCTATCCTTTCTTCTAACAACTGAGAGACCTTCTGTCCATATTTTACATCCCCCATTTACATAGCGTCTGCATCTCGAGTCCAAGCATTCGGTCACACAATCAAACCAAGCCTTTCTGCTTATTTTTGCTTCAAGTCCATGACCATTGAAACACGATTTTCGACTCTCTAATTGATAGAAATAATGAGGGTTTATGACCTCACGAGACCTTCCCAACGCATAATCCTTAAACATCAGCTCTATGTTGCATAGTATTTCCTTCACATATTCTAGTTCCCACCCTGTTGAATTCCCAGAATCAATGGCAAATGTAGTAGTAGTCACGTGTTTTATTGCCCGAGTTCCAGCAGAAATCGAAGAAGCCGAGTCTGATAACTCAGCATCAACTACGAGTGATTGTAACTTCTTCAAAGAATACATACCAAACACTTCATGAGCTTGAAAAGATGTATACTGCTTGCCAACTGGAAGCCGAGTCTGATAACTCAGCATCACGTTCGAGTGATTGTAACTTCTTCAAAGAATACATACCAAACACTTCTTGAGCTTGAAAAGATGTATACTGCTTGCCACCTGGAATTGATAATAAACACTCAGTTATAGATTCAAATTTTAGGATCATAAAAAATCCAAATGGAAAAAAAGAAGAGGGAGAAAGCAATTTTATGAGTTACTTTTTGTTTCGTTAATCACATTAGGCAAAAAAAGAAACTTGAAAAAAGTTTATGATCTTACCTACTGTACTACTTTCTGCAGTGTCCGAAGAAGCGAAACTTTCAGTGAAGGAAGAATGATCAAGAACTGAAACTGGACTTGGGAGCCGGCAATCCAGCAACATTTTGGTTTCAGTCCTGTTGCCACATTCATTCATTGAAGAAAATCTCGACCCACCTAGGCCAATCACACCATCCATGTGAATCCCATCTTTGGTCCTGTTGTCATGTAAAACTTTAAAGGTTCTTAAGGAATTCAGACCAGGTATCGGGTCTTGAAAAATTGATGCAGAACTACTAACTGTCGCTACTTTGTGTTCAGAAAACTCTACTCCACAAGTCAATTCTTTGAACTTTTGCTCCAAGAGAGTGCTCAATGTGTCACCTCCATTCACATTATTTCCAGGGAAAGTCAAATTATTCATACAATCCGAGCTCAACAGCATCCGTTTAGTTCGATAATTCTCAGAAAAGTCATTACATTGTTCCCGAGTCTCTCTGGTCCTCTCACAGCCTGGCCCTTTCATAGGAGTAGTGAACGTAAAAGAAACAACATCGGTTCCATTAATTTTGGTATCTTGATCCCATCTATTTTGCTGATCCATTAAAGCATTGGACTGAATCAGTTTCTGATTTTTATCCATCAGTGCGTTATTAGCTGCCTGGTTTTTCTCATATTGATAATTCCCATCTACGGATCGTTTCTTACGAGAGACTCTTTCTGAACTAGAATATGATACTTCCCTTTTATCATCTCTTGTATCCGAACCGGATCTCCTGGTGCCGAACTTCGAGTTCCTAGAGGTTTTACTACAGTTCCTGTGCCTTACAGAAATGGAATCTACACTAAGCGCTTTCCCATCTTGTAAGTTGGAAGCAAAGGATTTTGAGTGTAATTTTCCTCTTTCAGCATTTACACAATTCTGCTTCTGATTGTTCTGTCGGAGCACACTCGAACCACTACGTGTAGACGGTTTCTTATGTGTAATTTTCTGCGTATTTTGTTGGCTTTTGAACAACTGGTTTGAATTGAACACACTATGTTCTCTATGGACCAAACTTCTGCTGCTGCCCGAATTTAAGCCTTCTCGTTTCTGAACATTGGCCTTTGCTTGTAGTGCAAGTGATATGGATTTTCCTTTATTTTTAATGTCAGTCGAACATTCTTCAGAATGTTCAAAGACATCGATTGATGTTGCATCCATAGATTGTGCCTTAAAATACTTAGCAAAATCAGTTTCACCTGGCTTTTGAGAAGCCAAAGACGATTTTAATGAAATCTGAGACGATTGAACCTTCTCTTTCAAATTCTTTACTCGCAAGGGAGCCGATGAAGACCCCACCTGAGGAAATTTTGCTTTTCTGTTAGCTTGAGGTCCCGGCTCGATAATTCTTGCAGCTGCTTCCATAATGTAAGCAGCATCCTTAGGCGGGATCAAATTGGCACTTTTGATCGGAGATAAAAGTTTGTGATGGGTAATTGGGATGGACTTAGCCGACTTAGGAGGCAATATTTCAGTTTGAAACTTCTCCACTGGTCTGTTTATTGGCTTCTGGTTTTGCACCATTAAATTCCTAACAGAAGCCAGCTCCTTGTGTCTGCCCAAATGCACAATTTGACTATCTCGAGAACATTCAAGATTTTTCACATGGTAATGAGTATCACGGAGAGACTGAGAGTCGTGAAATGGGGAAGAGTAGGTCTCAGAAAAATTGGATGTTGGCATGGAATCCAATCCCATAAGCCTTGCTACAACCCCAGGAGCCTTAGTTCCACAAAAATCTTCATCAGTAACGGATGAAGCACGGCTATAATCACTGCTTCCTCTAATACTTGATCCAGCTATCATTTCATCCTCATCGAACTGGATATATATAGAAGCGGTGTGTGAATTTAAATCAAAATTAATGGAAATCAAATCGTAATAACTCAATAAACATGAAATAGATAATGCGGGTATATTCTCACCACATGAAGCTGCGTCATTGGCAAACTTCTGTCACATATCTTTTTCTGTTTCGACTGCTCTATAAAATGACAAAGAAAACAATATTTATCAAACCATAACGCATAAAAACCATTACTACTAAATCACACATACTCAATTTTATCATTGGAAGCAATCCATATCACTAATTTTCCAAATCGTACCTGGTAAATTAGATTTGCTAGAAAACAATTTCTTTCGAGATTTTGCATTCCAATCAAACATCTGGAAGAAGCCACTTCCACTTCTGGAACCTTGTTTCTCCATCCCCATATCCAGATACAGATTAAGTCGCGCCAATTCTATTTTCACAAACCACAGAAGTGACCACCGAGATGAGCAATGCTTCTACACCAAATATCCATCTGAAATTCAAAGTACGAGTTAGTAGTTATCTAAAACATCAATGACGTGTTTGGTAGAGAGGATTTGATAGCACCGGGAAGAAGAAAGGAAAAAAAAAAACCTAAATCTTGGATTCCATTATAGAGTCAAATGTTGGGTATCAAACATGCACCTAAGATTTCAAAATCGACTAATTAACATTCTAATCAAGAAAATCATATTAATGTGTGATATATCAAGGCAAGCTTTCCAAATCTCTGTTATTCGGCACTTCGTCAAAAATAAAAAATCACATTAAACATAAAAATCAAGCTAATCACATTATTCCAAGAACCAAATAAAACAACCTAAAGGGTCAGTGATTTACAGTAACTCACTTCAAAAAATCGAAATACAAACACAATTATAATGAAATATTTTTTCTTAACAGAGATCATTAAAACCCCAAGAAAACAAAAACCCTTCTTTTAATATCAAGAAAACTTACATGAACAGCTTGAAATCAAGATCTTCAAAACTCTGTACCTAAAGTTGTTATATTCAAGATACGTATGTGTGTATATAGAGAGAGAAAATGACTTAATTATCGAGAGAAGAGAGTAAGAATGGAAGGTTTCTGGGTGAAAGCTGTCTTGTAGAGTGTTCAGTGGTCGCATAGTTCAAGAAATAAATGAGGAGCAGAGAAAAATAAATTGGGTTTTAGAAATTAAGGAAGGGGAAATTAAATGGAACCAGAAAAGGTCAAAAATGGTTATAACGGCTAATTGGGGAGGATAAGAATTCAAATTCCAAATGTGGTGGTAGGGTTAACGGTGGGCCGGCGTGGGGTAATGGGCCCACGTATGGATGTTGAGAATTGGTTGACCCTTTTACTGTAGGGAAAATTACATGTTTAG